TAATAGATTACAGAACAAAAGGTTGGATGTCGCCTGTCATCTTTTTGGAATGTTGCCCTTGATTCTGAATGAGAAAAGAAACTTTCAGAATTCTTTTCTTGTGGGAAATTTACAGACAAAGGACGACAACTGGTTTGTGACGCAATTCTTCCTTCAAAAAACAAACCCATTGGTAATCTGTTATTGAACTCCAAATTCCATTCCAGTTATGTATTGCTCATTATAGACAATGCCATCTACAGAACGTTGTATACAGATGGTTTGAACCAATGACAAACTGTTGAAAGATGTTTCTTCAACAATACATGCTACTTAGGAAAATAAAAGTAACATATTGTATTATGAGAACTAATTATGTTTAAAAGTAAACAGCTGAAGTATGAATTTTAATTAATTCTCTTACACAAAGTCACAAATCTCTCTACTAAGCTAAGTTTCGGTCCTACCTTTGTAAGATTTCAAACAGGCCAAAATGGGCTAAAAGGATTGGTGACTAACAGGCATTGTGTGTGTGTTAGATTCACATCTCTGTTCACATGGAAGTGCATGTTCAATTTACACAACTGAGTTGTAGAAGTCCTTCTCTCTGAGCTAAGAGACCGGCCCAAAGTGCTTCTTTCCACTCAGTGTTTAGGCCCTCATTCAATCTCTTCTAGAGAGTCCATTTTCCTTTTACTAGCAGAATCACTTCACATGAGTACAACAGGGAACTGATCCTTAAGCTGTATGCTGGAAAGGTCATTTGGTCTTTGTTTTTATCATAACAGGATGTATGGGGATAATATTATCCCCAAACACATGAAAAGGGGTTAGGAGAGTAACACAGTGGTACTGCTGTTATTTGAGGGAAAAGGTTATCTCCTTTCATGCTTAGAACCAAATCAAGGTGAACTGGTTCACTGAAATGTGTGAAACTGGACAAGAAACTTTCTTAAAAAGGAAAAAATGATTGAAACAATCTGTAATTTACAAAGGAATACTTCACAATGACACTAATTTATGTAAGTTTTTAAACCTCTGGGACCTTCAGGATGAAAGCCACTACACAAGGGATGAATCAGAACAGGATAGATGCTATGTAGCAGCAGTTCTCTCCACTAGCCATTCTGTTCATTCATGTTTATTTTTCTTAACAGGGCAGGTGACCTGTGTAGGAAATGTCTCTCTTTTTCTATATACATAGGCACATACACATGCAGAGTAGTAGGTTGAAATTAAGTGTAATAAAGGGAAGATGTTGAAGGCTTTAATCCTTGCTTGAAAAAAGAGCAAAAAACTTCAAATTACCTTGTGTACTTAAAGCAAATTATATCACTGAAACCTGCTGTCTCACTCAGTTAAAAAGGGCCACTGAAGTTGGTTAGGGTAATATTTGTTGTATAAAATGTACTATGTGGTGAAGAATGTCCCTTGGAGCAGTGTGTTGTTTCTAGTTTGTTAATCTGTCAAATTCATTCAAAGTCACAGTCATTGCTTATGTAAGATCTACAACTTTTGAGTTTTAGTTACTGCAGAGGGAGCACACACTGATAGATAAATTATTTTCAGAGCTGTGCTTACTGACTTCTTGTGTAAAACTAAGGCGGAAAAAAAGATTATTCCTACAAGTGAACTGCCCCTCCCTGTCACCACAGGGCTCAATGGCTGCTCATCATAGGAGTGGTTTTTGTTGCAGGAAAGAGCTTGTGCCATGAGTACAGCAAGGTGGCATTACCCTGTAGTCACTAACTGACTTGCATTCCTTCCAATAAATCGAGGTACGTTTAGTCATGGTTTTCATGGACCTCAAAGGCCAGCTATGGGGCTGTAGGAAATGCTGTGATTCACCTTCACCTTTTGGATAAATCAATAATACAAACTCACACGTTTGAAATTTTGTTAAGATATCACTTAAAAACTTTCAAGCTGGCTTTATTCTAAGAAAAGAAATACAGAGATTCTTCTTTACCTCTTAGCTCCCTCCTCCCCCATCACAAGGGTGGGCCCCAATTGGAGACTTTGCTAAAGGCCAAGTCTGCATCCTGGGTTTAATTCTGACTCCTTTGTGTACCTAGATTTCCCACTGAAATCTGAGGTGCATGAGTATTACAGGATACAGCTGAATTTGAACAGAGTTCCCTCTCTAGTTCAACACAAACACTAATTAAAACAAATTTAATACTCGCCTTGCAGTCCATTCTGCAGAGTTTTCCTTCTTGAACAATCAGGTCTCCAGGAGCCTGCAGGAAATGAGGTCGGAAGAATCGTTCCTGAATTGGTTCATTTTCATCGGCACTGTCCCTTGATCGAGATCGAGGTCTTAAAATAATATATGAAATAAATTTGTTTATTAGGCATTTCCCTATGTTTTTTGATGAAGCTGAAGAGCCAAATGCAGATGTCAGACTGGTATAAATCTAGATTAATTCCACTGGATCCCATTGTAATAATTCCATATTTACACCAGCATAACAGAGCAGAATTTGTCTCAGAAATCAACTAAATATGACTCTCTCTCTGTTTATTAATTTGATTCAGTCTACATTTTGTAGCAAAGACATGAAGTAGAAAATTATTTCATTCACAATGAATGACTTACCTAACATGGTAGTTTGTTTATATACATAGTAATATTTTTTAGTTTTCATTTATTCTGTAGTTTAAATCAGTGAAAGAAAATGTACAAGAATTTTGGCAATACTTTATATCTACAGCCACAACTCTGCTTTAGTCTTTCGTACATCTGAAGCCCACTCTATTACAGATTAAGACAGAAAATTCCTACTGTCAATAATTACATTTACCTTAAGAAAATAGTAGAAGCTAAAGACTATCACAATTCACAAATACATTAGGTTCCACATTAGATTTTCCATTATTATCTTCTCTTATTTGTTACTAGGTAAAGACATTTACATTAATGTGACTTAAATGTGACTGCTCTGGAGGATTATTCTTCACTAAACAGTTATCTGTTTCTGATAGTTATACTCATTTCCAAAGCAACTCAGTTATGGTGTCAGAAGAATGAGAATTTAGCTCATAAGCAACACATACTAAAGAACAAAAGATCTTGTGACATTAAACTGTTCTTAGTAAAAATAAAAGAACATGGAAAGAAAAATGCAGAAAATATGACCAATCAGCAGATTTCCTCCACCCGAAATACAGTTTTCTGTCATTTCTGTGATGAGCAGTTCTTGCCAATTAATTTATTGTACCCTTGTCTGTGGCTAACCAGTTCCTTTTCAATTGAAAGTAACAATATTTCCATTATATAAGTAACTTATTTAGCAAAATGTTATTTCTGCAATCTCTGTAAAGTCCTATTTTACTTAAAATATTACATTAACTATGTAATTAAAATGAGATTTATGGCCAATTTCTGTCCTCTGCTAAAGTCATGCAGCTCCAATGAATTCATTTCTTCTATGGCCAAACTCTGCTTACAGTGACACCCTAGTACAACAAACTGGGACTGCTTACTGTAACTGAAGATTCATTTGGCCAATAATATTTGCATGGCTCTAAAAGTGAAATTCTGACTTCAATTAGCATGTACTAGAAGTTTATTTTGCATATCAACCTTCATATCTGTGTCCATTTCTTTTTGTCTTGGAGAAATACAAATATTTTTGGACAGGCTCAAAAACCAAAGAGCTCTTTTAAAGAACATAGCCAGACTGATCTCTGTTGCTTAGTGTTCTCTGTTTCTTCTTTTCCTCTTTTCTTTCCCTCTCACTCATCTTCGTTTTCCCTTCTGCTCCCAGCCCCTCCAAAAGGCTTTTACACTGTCTTCTCTAGAAGTTAAGTGACCTGCAGGCTCCTTGTAGCTCTGACCCACAATTCCTCGTGGCAGCTCTTCTGGTCACAGATTAATAAGAGGCTTTGAATTGCAAAGGTGCTGATTCAGTGCAGCAAGGGATATTGAATATCAACCTACTGATGAATCAGTGGCTGTGCAGTCCTGAAATAGCTTCTCCACTACATTTTCTATGAAAAATGAACATACAACTAGCTTTTGGGGGCTTAGTGGCCTAATGAATGTGCAACACACTGCTGTGGAAAGGGTTTGAATTTAGGCCTTGAGATCATCTCCTTGTTATCCCTGGGCCTGGAACTGTATGGAGGCAGTTTGCATAGCACTAGGTGAGGGTGGGTGAGAATACTTTTCAACACTTGATTTACTGCCTTTTGGCCAACTCAGGACTGAGGCTTATGAGATCCAGAGAGAAATGCATCCCAGGCCTCCTTGTCCAGAAATAAGGATTAGGTTAACATGAATTCTGAGAAAGGAGGAAATAAAGTGGAGAAATAGGGTGAGGGATCTGAGAATCATCCTCATAAACAACTGACCACAGTTTTACCAGGATTTTCTAGTATCTAATTTAATATTTAGCAGGGCTCTTTTTTCCATGCAGTATTTGTACCATATATACTTCCTCAGTTGCTAACTGTTTTTGTGAGCAACAAAATCCATTAATTTCATCCTGAATGTAGTAATTAGTGCTGTCATATCTATACTCTGTGTTGTAATTGGCAGCTGATGGCAAGATACTGCAGTGGGTATAATCAATGAACAGAACAAATAGATGCACCACAGCAGACACTTGAATTGGGATCCTCTACTTGGTTAACCAAGAGGCAGTAGCTAGGTCAATGGAAGAACTCCCTCATCGACCTAGCTGCATGTACTGTGGTTGTTAGGGTGACCTAACTACATCGCATAGGGCATGAAATTTTTCATACCCCTTGAATGATGTAGCTAGGTTGACCTAAGTTTTAGGTGTAGACCAGGCCTGGGACAAGATGCAGCAGGTGAACATGACTAACAAGGAAGGGAGGGAGGTCAAGGGTTAAAAAACTAAGATAAGTTGCCTGTTGTACATCTGATGGTGCCAAGAATTATAGGGATTTTTGGATACAAGAGAAGATTAGGTTAGCAGCTGCAGTGATGAATGTGTAAAGAAAACATCTATAGTACCTTCTGATATGAGGCTGGTTGGGGGGTGTTCGAGGACTCCGTCCTCTCTGATTGACAGCCTGAACCATCAGCCTTCCAGTACAGCTTATTCTGCCCTGTTACAAACATTGAGGTGAAAAAACCAAATTATTTTATTAAAAATAAACAATTTTAACAGAATAGATTTTCCCCAAAACACTAAACAAACGTATTAATAAATGCCCAGAGCCTGAAGTTCACTTGTTGGTGCCAACTTTTACGGATGCCCTGCTTTCAAAATCTTTTCTTCCACAAGAAGGGAGTTCCCATCAGAATTAGTTAACATCCCAACTGCCATCAATACTTTCCCTATTTTTACAGCTAGCAATCCAACTGTGAACACACTGAAGCAATTCTGTGGTTACAAAAAATCATCAATAAAAACTTATGAGGTCTACTTTATTGTATCCTACAAGGTTGCCCTTTAAAAAGGGGGAAAATTCTGCACTATCTGGAACACAGCTAGTACAGATAGCAGTGAGATACCTATTGCCTTTAGAATAAAGTAGTTAGACATATTGCCATTTTCCTTTATGCTGTTAAATGGTCCAGCTGCTGACTCTGCTCTCGCTGATGGACCATTTAGTAATGCTGCTGACTGTTCTTAACATCAGCATAACATTCACATTGATTCTTAGTTATCCAGTAGTAAAATTATCCAGCTGCTCCTCCGCCGGCTATAAGTCACACCCAAAATATACCTAACAAACTTTATATGCAGAGCTTGTGGCAGCTCAGTCATTGTTTTGTTTGCACCACTGATGTCTTCACATTCAGAAAAGAAGTTGTATTGCATAAAATCAGAAAGCAGGGGGGGAAAAAGCAGTCACCTTGAAATACAGTTATTACTGATAGATAACATGTATACGTGCTGCTTTACAAAATGTTACCACACAAGGCATTTGATTTCCAGTACTCATGAAGCAAAATCGCTGAGAGAAAGGTTGGTACCAGTAAAAAATACGTATTTCTGGACAACTGTCTGCACATTTCACAGCACAGTGAGAAATCTGGGTTTTGGAGCGTCCGTTCAGCTTCGCTAAACAGAGGTAAGTAGTCGTTTGGGCTCTCAGCCATAGTCGTTTGGGCTCTCAGCCAAAACAGCATTTCAAAGTAACCAAAAAGCTTCTAAGTTTTTGAAAGATTTTAGTTCACTAAAAATAGAATACATATTTGTGCATTTCAAGTGCTTTTTTGTTGATTTTATTAGAAGCCGATTCTCCAGCGGTGTCTATCATCTTCAACAAGACCCCTAAGCACTAAGTGTCTGTTTATCCAAGTTAACAGAAATTGCTGAAATTTCCCATAGACCTCACATAAATATATTTGTTTGGTCCAGTGGATAAACATGAATGTTCCCAACTGCCAAACAAGAGACTGCTCATGTTCCAGCAGATACCGGCATCTGGCCAGGATAAGGATCGGACTATCACTAAGGCAATAAATTAGGCGATAACGGTAAGATGTAACTTACTCCTTTCCCTCTGAAATGTCTGTAGAACTGCAGGTTACAAAGGAGTAGCGGCAAGGGGAGAAACCTCAAGTTCTTCCAGACAGAAGGGCAGGATTTAGTATATTTTAGGAGGGATAGGTCCTGCTTTGGGGCTTCTAAGGCCTAGACGCCCTCCTTCCTGGACTTTTTCTCAGGACTCTGCTGTTGTGGACACTCACATGGAGTGGTAGAAATCAGGGCATTGGACATTTCGGGGCTATTCCAATATCTTTCCTGTGCAATAAACATGGTACATAGCATCCATTATGATGTTTTACATTTCTAATAGCTGTATGAGCTGAGACAGATTTGGAGGTGCCCTGTGATAATTTATGAATAGAGTCTGTTGGTCTAGTTATTGGGGTGTTTTTGTAGGACTTTGGTTTAACTCAACAGGAGTCTATCTGGAAAAATGGCAGGAAAGAGAACACCACCTCAAGATAAGCCACTGTACCAGGGCCTCCTTGGTCCTGCTTCTGTCTCTGTCTACAAACCACGTAGACAGGTGTTGCTGGTCCAACACCTTGTGCAGTTTATTTATAATTGAGTCCCACTACCTTCAAAGCATACCTAGTGCCTTTACAAGCAGGGAGAGAGCAATCTCCCTCTCACTGCCTGCTTTTTTCCCTTTTCACTTCCTTCTTGTGCCTATTTGTGGGCTCTGGCTAATGACTTAATTCGCCTTACTGCCCTGCCGCACCCACAAATTAGGCACAGGTCTGCCTCATCAGCTCCAATCTGCTATGCCTGATTGGAGCTGCTGTGAACAGAGTGCTGACTCAGGGTTTCATACCTAGCACTCTGTCACAGCCAGCCTTTCAGCAAACACTTGAGAGTTGTTCAGGGACAATACCAGAATCACTGGCTCCGAGTACTCGTTTGATCTCCTGCTGAGCCTACAGGACTTGTTTTGACAAGATGGGTCAAAGCCCGGGGACACAGAAGAACAAAAGAACTATAGCAGTTTAAAAAGAACCCTGTCTCCAGAGAGGGGTTGTAGTTGTTTGGGAGAAGCAGACTGAGACACAGGACCCCACTGGGGCTGTCTGAGCAAGTTAGACCTGTCGAGGCTTCCATCAGGGGATGGTAAATGTTTAGGTCACAGACATATGTGTAGACAATTTAAAAAAAATCCTTTTTCTGGTGCTTTATTCCTACTACCAAAATAAACAATGCTTTTGTTTTAAGAAAGCTGTCTGATCACTATATACACTACTGGTCACAGACTCCCAAAGGGAAGAACTGCAGGCACATGAGCCCTGTTGGACCTGCTGGATAAGAATGGTGGATACACTGGGCACTGTAGACCAGGAGCCAGTATAAGAGTGGGAGAATTGCAGAATTCAGTCCAGAAAAGGCAGCATTCAGTCCAGCGATCAGAAAGGGGACAGAGGTGCAGCTAGTCCTGCAACCATGATAAGAAGTCACCAGGACCAGATGGTATTCACCCAAGAGTTCTGACAGAACTCAAATGTGAAATTGCAGAACTACTAACTATAGTCTGGAATATAGAATCATAGAATATCAGGGTTGGAAGGGACCTCAGGAGATCATCTAGTCCAACCCCCTGCTCAAAGCAGGACCAATCCCCAATTAAATCATCCCAGCCACTGCTTTGTCAAGCCTGACCTTAAAAACTTCTAAGGAAGGAGATTCTACCACCTCCCTAGGTAACGCATTCCAGTGTTTCACCACCCTCCTAGTGAAAAAGTTTTTCCTAATATCCAACCTAAACCTCTCCCACTGCAACTTGAGACCATTACTCCTTGTCCTGTCCTCTTCTACCACTGAGAATAGTCTAGAACCATCCTCTTTGGAACCACCTCTCAGGTAGTTGAAAGCAGCTATCAAATCCCCCCTCATTCTTCTCTTCTGCAGACTAAACAATCCCAGTTCCCTCAGCCTCTCCTCATAAGTCATGTGTTCCAGACCCCTAATCAATTTTGTTGCCCTTCGCTGGACTCTCTCCAATTTATCCACATCCTTCTTGTAGTGTGGGGCCCAAAACTGGACACAGTACTCCAGATGAGGCCTCACCAATGTCGAATAGAGGGGAACGATCACGTCCCTCGATCTGCTGGCTATGCCCCTACTTATACATCCCAAAATGCCATTGGCCTTCTTGGCAACAAGGGCACACTGTTGACTCATATCCAGCTTCTCGTCCACTGTCACCCCTAAGTAACCTATCATTTAAATCAGCTTCTGTACCAAATGACTGGAGGATAGCTAATGTGATGCCAATTTTTAAAAAGGGCTGGAGAGGTGATCCCAGCAATTACAGGTCCAGAAGCCTGACTTCAGTACCAGGCAAACTGGTTGAAACTATAGTAAAGAACAAAATTGTCAGACACATTGATGAACATAATTTGTTGGGGAGGAGTCAACATGGTTTTTGTAAAGGGAAATCATGCTTCACCAAGCTACTAGAATTCTTTGAGTGGATCAACATGCATGTGGACAGGGGGGATCCAGTGGATATAGTGTACTTAGATGATTTTCAGAAAACCTTTGACAAGGTCACCCACCAAAGTAAGCTGTCATGGGATATGAGAGAAGGTCCTTTCATGGATCTGTAACTGGTTAAAAGATAGGACTTAATGGGTAGGAATAAATGGTCAGTTTTCATAATGGAGAGAGGTAAATAGTGAGTCCCTCAGGGGTCTGTACTGGGACCAGTCCTATTCAACATATTCATAAATGATCTGGAGAAAGGGGTAAACAGTGTGAGGTGGCAAAATTTGCAGATGATACAAAATGACTCAAGATAGTTAAGTCCCAAGCTGACTGCAAAGAGCTACAAAAAGATCTCACAAAACTGGGTGACTGGGCAACAAGATGGCAGATGAAATTCCATGTTGATAAATGCAAAGTAATGCACACTGGAAGACATAATCCCAACTATACATATAAAATGATGGGGTCTAAATTAGCTGTTACCACTCAAGAAAGAGATCTTGGAGTCATTGTGGATAGTTCTCTGAAAACATCCACTCAATGTGCAGCAGCAGTCAAAAAAGTGAACAGAATGTTGTGAATCATTAAGAAAGGGATAGATAATAAAACAGAAAATATCATATTGCCTCTATATAAATCCATGGTATGCACACATCTTGAATATTGCATGCAGATGTGGTAGCCCCATCTCAAAAAAGATATATTGGAATTGGAAAAGGTTCAGAAAAGGGCAACAAAAATGATTAGGGGTATGGAATGGCTGCCATATGAGGAGAGATTAATAAGACTGGGACTTTTCAGCTTGGAAAATAGACTAAGGGGGGATATGATAGAGGTCTATAAAATCATTAATGGTGTGGAGAAAGTAAATAAGGAAGTGTTATTTACTCCTCATAACACAAGAACTAGGAGTCACCAAATAAAATTAATAGGCAGGAAATTTAAAACAAAAGGAAGTATTTCTTCACACAACACACAGTCAACTTGTGGAACTCCTTGCCAGAGGATGTTGTGAAGGCCAAGACTATAACAGGATTAAAAAAAAAACTAGAGAAGTTCATGGAGGATAGGTCCATCAATGGCTATTAGCCAGGATGGGCAGGGATGGTGTCCCTAGCCTTTGTTTGCCAGAAGCTGGGAATGGGGGACAGGAGGTGGATCACTTGATGATTACCTGTTGTGTTCATTCCCTCTGGGGCACCTGGCATTGGCCACTGTTGTTCTGTGTGTGTGTGTGTGTGTGTGTGTGTGTATATATATATATAAAATCTTCCTACTGTATTTTCCACTGCATGCATCTGATGAAGTGGGCTTTAGCCCATGAAAACATATACCCAGATAAATTTGTTAGTCTCTAAGGTGCCACAAGTACTCCTCGTTCTTTTTGCTGATACAGACTAATACAGCCACTACTCTGAAACCTGTCAGAAGACAGAATACTGGGCTAGATGGACCTTTGGTTTGACCCAGTATGGCCGTTCTTCCGTTCTTATGATATAAGCATGTTTTTTCCCTGTCATAACCACAGACAAAAGATTCTGCCTTACACTATGCACAGTAATAAAACACAAAGTGCAATGTTACTAATGCAAACCAGCTCCATTCTCGTGATTGCAGTTTCATTTGTGTTATATACACAGCAAGCTCACTGCTAATTTTTCTTGCTTTGACCTGTTGGTAAACATCTGGCTATGTAATAACTGTAGAACTTGTTTTGTCTTCTTGAGTGCCTGAAATACCTGGCAAAAAGCTTACATTTTATTAGAACGTTTGATTTAATCCAAATAAGCAGTGAATTCCTATGTTCAGAAGGCTCCATTACAAAGGCCACAATGAAGTCAGCATGCACAGCGTTATCTTTAGAAGCAAATTTGCAAAACAACGATTTTGCACTGTGTATTAATTTTAAATGAATGGCTTTCATTAGCATATGGGACTGAGCTACAGAGTCTAGATTTCAAATGCAATCACATCAAATCAATATTATGCAGGTCAGACCAGATCATAATAGTTCCTTCTGGCCTTTGAATCCATGAAAATTTGGCCATGTTTAGCTATTGGATTTTGGTTCCTCCCATGGTTCAGGTGTGAGTTACATATGTGGCTGAGTTGTATCAGATCCTTCTCAGTTTTATTGCACAAGATGAATCTGTATTTTAAAAGTAATTTCTATTTTTCTAGTATTGCAGTGTTTGCACTTTTTGGCTGTATTCTAAATTAGCGCTCCTTGAAAAACTCTAAATATTTTCTATGAAACATTTTGAACAGAAAAAATTGTTTCATTCACAATTTGCACATGGAAATTTTCAACAAAATAACTCACAAACAAAAGTAGATTCAAATCAAAACTAAATGAAAATGTTCATTTAGACCTGATTTGTTGAAAAATCAAAATATTCTGAAAAAAACCTATTTTTTGAGGTGAGGGGGAATAATTTCTTTTTAAAAGTCATCTTTGTTAAAGAAAAATTTTGATGTCAATTTTCTACCTGCTCTAAGATAACTGGAG